GACGGGTCCCTAACTCCCTATTAAGTTCAAGACGAAAGTCACTTGGTAGGTGAGGGATCATAGCTTGATGTCCACTATGTGTTAATTCAAGTCGCGAGACATTGACACTTATGCAATTGTTTTGTTTTGCTCAAAACCAATTATCTCTCTTTCTTTCTTTTCACTTCTTCGAACCTGTGGGGGATTGTTGGAAGTTCTTGAAGTAAAACCAAGAAAGTTACGGTGTTTATTCTTTTGACTATTGGGATTTAATGACTATTGGAATCCCTTAATTTTAGCTTCCTCTTATTGCTAATTTAATGCGCATTATTGCTGATTAAAGTTGTTACTTAAAAACTAGCTGTTACCCTTTTAATGTTGATTAAAGCTAGCTCTTATTGGGGATTAATGGATGGATGTTACACCACTTGATTGATGACCATTTTCCCCTTAATTGCTGGTTGCTCTTACTCCCTCCATTGCCTTATAAATCAACATTATTCACCTCCGAAAGATATGACAACAAAAACCATCCATCTTTAACTTCTTACCTTCTCTTAAAATATATCCTTTCGGTTTTTGGGCAAGTATTCTGAATTCCAGTCGGGTTTGTGAGTGCACACAAATTCCGGCGCCGTGCTTATCCTGGAGGGCGACCGCTTGATGTCTACTGCACCGGGGTAGCGTGGAATCGTCTTTTAGGTCAGTGGTTTACCACGACGCGGCAATTGTCAATTGGTCTACACAACATTGAGATAAGTACTTTCGTTTAATTTGCTTATTTTCTAACAGTTTTTACATCAAAAGAAGTCATTTAATTAAATGACCAAATTAAAAGGCCTAATTTGACCCCAAAGCTTCAAGTATGTATTGTAGCATAAGTAGTCATTACTTAGGTTATAATGTGATATGCCATAGTGCAACAAACACAATTTACTTAGGTTTAGGCAGAGTCATAATCGCCTCGAATACGGGTTTTGAAGTGTTGCCAATGGAGCCACTTATGTATCCCCCTTGTTCGCAGGCCTTATTCACCAATCTCCCATTACTCAGCTTGTTGTCAAGAGCTTGCCATATTCCTACCCTCTCTGCCTGATCATAGTGCCCTGCTTCGCGTATTTCAGTATACACCTATAACAAAATCTTCAACGTTACAAGAGGATTTTAGTTCCATCGTAAAATCACTACCCAAATTAGTCATCAATTGGTGTAAACTATACATAATCCGTTATGCAAGCCAAAAAGCAAGAAAAATAAGGCTAAAGATTTTAAGATTATGCTCTGAGTAACCGTACTTATATTTTATAAATTAGCTTGTATTTCGTACGTTTTAGCTGAGCATGTGAATTGTTATTCTTTAATATTACACTTAGGCCTTTTTCACTCCACCTTATAAAAATAATACTTGTATTATTTTAGTAAAAATAATTTCAGTCTAGTAAAAATAATTTCAGGTTAGTAAACTTAAAGAAAAATATAATAGAAAATCAAAAAATAATTTAAGTTGAGCAAAAATAATTTAAGGTGTAGTAAACAGGCCTTAGACAAATTATGTCAATAATATGAAGTAAATACTACTACTACTTCCGGTCCAAATTACTCGCAACTTTAAAATATTTTATATCTCACAAATAATACCCAAAGTTGCGAGTAATTTGGACCGGAGGTAATATATATGATTGTAAAAAATATATACCTGATTGGTGGGGCCTGAAAAAGTGTTAGAAAATCCCATGAACCAGTGTTTCTCCTTGCCTTGATTGTTGTAGGCAGAGTATACAATGCCTAGGGGTGAAAGTTCGGTGTTCGGTTTGGATTATGGCCCAAACCGAAGCCAAACCGAAATAATTCGGTTTTACATTTTTCAATCCAAATCCACACCGAATTTTAATTCGGTCCAAACCAAACCGAACCGAATTTCTGATTAGCAAACCGAAACCGATCCATAAACCGAATTTTTTACCAGATGCAAATTGAAGTATAAGAAAACTAAGCAATCTTTATAATTATAAACATAAAATTACACAAACTAAACTGAGAATTAATTACATACAATCAACCATTATAAATTTGTCCACCGATTAAAAAAGAAATTAAATAAATAAATCAGATCTTCTGCTTCATGCATTCCTTCAATAATTTGGCTCAAAACCTCAGATCTATTCATTTCCTAATATAATTTCCTTTGAGTTATAAAAAAAATTAAATAGAAAAATAAAATCTTCTGCTTCTGCACCTCTTTACTAATATCATTTCCTTTGAGTGACTGACCAGAGAGGTGGTGGTGAGGAGACGTGGTGGTGGTCGGCGGTGAAGTGGTGGTGATATGAGGGAAAACGAACAATGAAACACGAGCGGCCATCGAACAACTTTGAGATACGTTGAGAGCACAAACACCGAAACAAGAACTGGTGGTGAGATACCTTAAGTGGACTTCTAGAGTGGTGGTGGACGGACAGATTGAGGTGGTGAGGGAGAAAAGTGGGGAAATCTAGGGATTTGGTGAGGAAGGTGCCGAGAGAAAGTGAAAGGGAAATGGGAAAAGAGGGGAACAGTTTAGGGTTTTGGATTTACATATGTAGGAAAATGGGCTGGGATTAGTGGGCTTAATAAACTTCGGTTTGGTTTTCGGTTTTCGGTTTTTCGAATCCCAAAACCGAATCCAAACCGATATATTTCGATTTCCATTTTTTCAAACCGATCCAAACCGAAAACCGAAAAAAACCGAACCGAATTGCTTATTCGGTTTGGTTTGGTTCGATTTTCGGTTTTTATCCAATTTACTTTCACCCCTAACAATGCCGGCTCTTGAACTCTTTTCCTGGTTATAGTATTGACCGTGCAAGAACGCACCCCATTGCCCGTCGCAATGATCACCGGGTACGCAGACTCGCAAACACGTCCCTTCCAGTCACGAGCAACCACGAATATAATAGTGTCACTAGTCGCATTGTAAATTTTGGCCTGTTCATATTTACTTATTTTCAGTTCAGTTCAGTTCAGCTCCAATCAGTTCAGTTCAGTTCAGTTCATTTCAGTTCAGCTCCAATCAGTTCAGTTCAATTCAGTTCAACTCTTAATTTCCCTCTCTCATAAAATATTCATTTCAGCTTAGTTTAGTTCAGTTCAGTTCAGTTCCAATCAATTCAGTTAAGTTCAGTTCAGCTCCAATCAGTTCATTTCAGTTCAGCTCAATTCAGTAAATATGAACAGGCCCTTAAACACATTGTGCTCACAACATCGTCCCCAAATCGACACTGTAGCTTCTCCACGTAGTTTCGAGCATCCACGGCCTTGCTCTCGGCGTTCGCCTTCTCTAGTGCAACCTTGGCTCGGTCTTGCTGTGTGATCGAGTTCTTGCCTTGATATTCAGGCATCGCTCTTAGGGTTGCCACGGTAACTGGAGTTCCAAACACGTTTGAACCCATCTTGGTTAATTTTCTACCTACAAGATGTGTTGCATGTTACAACAATAAATAATAATCCTTTTTTAATGGCTCAATAGCTATAAACGTAAATTGTGATATGATATTATTCTATCAATATTAGATATTATTAAAAATACTAGTATTAAGAGATAGTATAAAACAAAAAGATATTATTTTGATATTATAGTGATAAAATTCTAGAGACTATCTTGTGACAGATATACGAAGTATGTGATAGTTTAAGGATATTAAGATATTTAGGAATATTAGGACTTGACATTCTTATTCTCTATAACATAAACATTTGAAAATAGCGTAAAGAAAAATGTAATTTTTACACTTGACCAGCTAAATCGATCATTACGTAATCAACCAACTAGAATTCTATATTAGTCAAAGACTCAAAGTGTAACGCTTAAAAGAAATATTGGGAAGGGAAGACTATAGTTTTCTCATCGGATTGAGTGGTATATGACACTTACAAAACTATATTGGGGAGGAAAGGTATATGACAAATGTTTTCTCATCAGATCTAGTGGGATGTGCTTTTATTAGAAAGGAACACATGGAAATTAAAAAATACTTAATACTTATAAGAGTGTCATATTGCTATGTGTAACTTTTCATTATGTTATTTGGACACGTCAAATTTCAAACTTAGCTAGGCACATAATCAAATTGTAATATTGTTTAGCCTTCTTGAAAAATTCTTTGTTAGTCTAAATTATTCCATGTATTAATGTTTAGTTATATTGAAAGACTCTTCATCATATGTATACCCACATTATTATATAAATTTTTCTTAATCTTTAGTAATTGCACAATAATAGTATAATTTGTTCAAAAATAATCATGACTCCATTTTTTTTGTGCATCGATTTATAGGTTGTAGCTGAGAGTAATATTTAGTAGTATATATTGAGAAGAAATAAAATTACATATATTTGATTTATCATTTATCTTATATACAGAGTATATATACTAATGCAAAAATTATTCTTATAGTCAAACTAGTTCACACAAACAACTAACTAGTTAAGTTCTCATTTTTAAACAAAAATAAATAAAAGTTAGCTTCTCTCCCGATTCTAGGAGATCTTAAGATCAATTCTCACCTCTGCCCTTGTGCCTCTCTAAACACAAAAAAAATGACCTTCTTTAATATTAAATTTGATCAACCCGACCCAAATTCAGTCAAACCAAAATCACACTGAATCAAACTTAATCTAACAAATAAAATTATCCAAATCAGAATCAACTCAGCCCAAAGTCATCCAAACCAAAATTAACTAGATCAAACTCGTTTTTAAACCCAATAAAAAATATCCGGAACCGAATATAACCCGATTTCAAGTTGACCCGACCTTGACTTAAGAGATCTTGATCCAAAATTGGCTTGACCTAAACTCAAGTATGTTAAATGGGTAACCTAGCCTTGACCCAAAAAGACCTAATCTAAACTCAAATATCGTGTAGGTCAATCCAAACAGACCCAACCCGTCGTGGTTAATCCAAACTTCATCTGATTACCTAAATTAACAACCTTATATAGTTATATTTAAATTTATTTACATGCAAATTGCACTACTACATTTTGGGGCCTATTGTAACAAATTTTTTCTTTTTTTTTTTCATGGAAGCAAATTTCTAAATTCTAACTACTTAATTAACAGAAAATAAACTTTTAATTTTATTGATACTGAATAGAAAACAATTTTGCAGTACATAATTGGGAGTTCACCGGTTGAAGTGTTGAACAAACATAAATAAATAAAATCCCAAGCAGTTTAACCGAGAGCTTACAAAGAAATTGGGCACAAAGCTTATCACATCACACACTCAACTCTTGCAAATCCAGAGTCAAATTAGTAGGCCTTGAATGCTCAATCAAGGATTCAGGCAGTGTTAAAATGGCTTCGAATACGGGTTTTGCAGTATTACCAATGGAGCTACTAATGAATCCTCCTTGCTCATTGGCCTTGTGCACCAATTTCCCATCACTCAAAAAGTTGTTGACAGCATACCAAACTCCACTGTTCTTCAAATCATAGTGCCCTGCCTCTCGAATTTCTGCATACACCTGCAATGGAAAACAATCAAAGATATCAATGGTCTTCTTTACTGTATAGTCCATACTCCCTCCGTCCCATAATTACTAACACGTTTAAATTTTTTTCAGTATTCATGCGAAAGTTTCAAATAATGTGTAACGGAGGTAGTATATGTTCACTATTTTGTTTGGAAGGAGCTCATATATTTAAAGCGGTCAAAAGACCTTGTAAGTTTATTTTGTTGTTTAGGGGGACCTTGAGATCGGAATCCGGTAATAACTGACTTTTTTATCTGACGTTGACCTCTCATATTGTTTTTTTTTTTTTTAAGGTAAGGGAAATTCCCTTACAAGTTGGGGGGAAATAAGGGATCCAACTTACTTGGGGTGAGAATCGAACCCCTCTCACAGGGATGGAAGGAGGGCCTCTAACCACTTGGTCAACCTTAATTCTCACATTGACCTCTCATATGACCTTAAGAAATGACCCTTTTTCATATAGTTTTAATATTTTACAAAAAAAATTGGCAATAGATGTACGATATAGTGATATGGAATGGAGGATACATAACTTGTTATAGGAACCCAAGGTACTATCAAAACCCAGGAACCAATGTCGTTCTTCCCCTTGATTGTTGAGAGCAGAGTAAACAATTCCAGCTCTAGATTCTCTATCATCGTTACCATAGTATTGTCCATGGAGGAATGCACCCCATTGGCCATTCGCGATGATCACTGGGTAAGCAGATTCGCAAAGACGTCCATGCCAGTCATGAGTGACAACGTAAGTCATATTATCACCGGTTGCGTTGTACATCAGACACATTGTGCTCACGTAATCGGCCCGAAATCGAGACTGCAGCTTCTCCACAAAGTTACGAGCAGCCTCGGCCTTGCCTTCCGCGTTCACCTTCTCGAGTGCAACCTTTGCCAAGTCTTTCTGGCCGATTGAGTTAATGCTTTTGTATTCAGGCATCTCCCTCAACATTGCCATTGTCACTGCACTTCCAAATACGGCAGACCCCATTTTATTCGTTACTTTTCGAACCTGCATGTATTATTACATGTGAAAGTTAAATTTGCGTAAATATTGTTGTAAATTAGAGGGTTTGGTAAAACAATTAATACTCGTATTAATGAATGTTGGGAAAAAAAAACAAATGGGACTATCATTTTGGGACTAAAATTTAGTCAAAAAAGAAAATCAATAAGAGATTGATGGGGTAAAAGTTAGATATTAATAATGTAATCACCGAAACGAATCAAATTAGATTCTACATGACTATATTTGTTCTTACAGATTGAGAAATTTTTTAAAAGATTCTTATTTTTTAAAAGTCAAAAATTCCACACAGGAACATCATTGTAGAACGGAGAGAGTAACTAATTGAGATAACAGTACACCCAATACTTTGAGAGATTAGATGATAAAAATTAAAAAGTGAAAAGTACTTTGAGACAATATATACATGTAGGAAGGGCCACAAAGGATAAATAATGTAGACGATAATCTTACTAAATATCTAAGGGAGGCGTATCTAAGGTGGGATTCTTACTTGAAGAGTGACTAGCTAAGAAAATATGAGAAAGAAAGAATGATTTGATTAAGCTAATTGAGAACGAGCTTATATGATGAGTGCATTGAGGGTGTGGCTTTCAGTCCCTATTTATAGATGAATTTGGAACTCAACCTCTCTTTCTTGTGAACATTATATTAATGTCAAATTGTCAACTGACTTTCCTTAAATGGAAAGTTGTTAAGAAAGTAGAAAGAAATGGAAACTTAAATATTCTAATAGCGTAATTAATCATCCAAGTTAGGTGGTTACTAACTACTAAACTACGAAAGAAGTTGCAAATAAGCTACTCACCTTTCACAAGTTGCCAAAAGAGTACTCAACTATGGCAGAGTACCAGTCGGAGGGAATATTCCGATTTGTTTACTTGTAATAACCGGTTTTGCTTGGAAAAAAAAAAAAAAAGAAGAAGATATTTTCGAATATCGTAGCAATGATGGCATTGCCCTTGGTTAAAGAACGCCTCTTACAAGATTGCCAAAAAAACTGTGAAAATCCATCAAAAGAATCTCTACTACTGAATTTGCAGCTTCTCCCATTATTTGATAAGCACTATTATTTTGGAAATTACAAGAAGATAATGGACAAGGCACCAAGCTGATATGGTGCATCTGTGCATACTTGTTGAAACCCATTGTAGCCCACTTATGAGTGTCCCATATTGGAGAAAGAGGAGAAGTGGTTCCACTTTATTAGGTAAAGGAGTTCCTCCTACTATTGCCAATTGGTTTTAGTATGGAAGCTCAAAAGCCTTACTTGTGGACCAAACTCTCCTCCTCCTTATTTGAGTTGCCCAGGCGCTCTCTATTACCGGCTATAACAAGTTAAAAAGTTAGTGTACAAAGTTTAGTACTCTTATGAGCAATAATTGAAAGGTGAGTACCTTATTTGCATCTTCTTTGATAGTTTATTTACTAGTGTTGTATTTCACCCCAAGTTAGGTTCTTTCCCTTTCTCTATTACGCCTTCCGTCCTTTATTGATAGTCCATTATGGCCAATTTTAAGTTCCAAAATGATAGTCTCAATTGCTTTTTTCAAATATCATTAATATCTTCTCTTTTTTTTTTACCAAAATACCCTCCAATTTACAACAGTATTTGTGCAAATTTAACTTTCCCTCAATCCGGTAAACTTGGTTCTCACACCTTTGATACAGATGTATGTTGCTCTAAAGCAAATTTAGTTGGTAAATCTCAAACTTAATGGTAACTTCAAAGTTATAAGATGAATTCTCCACCAATCATACTTGGTTAAAGATACATATATATTTTACTGAACATTTCATATAAGAACGGAGGAAGTGTTAACGTCAACAAATATAATACAAAGTGTTTCAGATGAAAACAATAGGACCTTGCCGAAGGTCCAACGAAGTGGGCGAAGACTTGTCCGGTCCAAACGATGATGGGCCGAAGGTTACCTGCACAGCAAACACACGTAAACTGGCCTCGGTGGTGGATCCAAGGAAGACCCCTCCGATGCCGAAGTCAGATAGTGTTTAGAGATAGAAAGCTATGCAAGAGATTTAATGCTTGAGGTTTTAATGTGTCTATCATAAATGAGTTGATTGAAGGCTTTTATACCTTTGCATATGAAGAGATGAGAGTAATTGGGCCCTAAATAACCATGGGCTGACCATAGCAATTTGGGCCAAATGACTCATGGCTGACTTGGCTTAATTGGAGGCTTGGGCCTTGACCTTGGAATATTGGATCGTTTAATGACTAGGCCCAATTAGATAAATTGGACCCAAACAACTTGCCCCCCAGACCCGATTTGGAAGGATGACGAGTCGGGTTTGAATCCAATAAAAATGTGAGGGAAGTAAATGATTTAATTAAATCAAAAGATTTAAATTTGAAACAGTCATTAATTAAATAACTGTAATTGGGGTAGTTAATAGGAAGTGGAGAAGATAATGGGCGGTTAATCAAGTGAAAAAGTGCTTAACGGTTAATTAAGGAGGCATTTAAGAGGGATTTAAACTGTTCGACCTTTGGAATTCTCTTTTCTGGAATTATAAGGTTTGATTCACATTTTCGCCCCTATTTCTTCACCGATTTGCATTCGAATTCTCGCAAAACTCCCATTTTTGCTTTAAATCTTTAGCGCAATATCTCCGAATCCAAGTTTGACACTCAAATCCGCCACTCCCAGTGATTTGAACGGCGCATTTCGGCCTATTTGAAGGTAAATTTCTTCGAGTTTCTTTTGATTTTCTTGCCCTTTCTGAGAAAATTCTTCTTTTTCCTACTTTTCTTCTTCGAATTTGATTATGGCTCGAGGAAGAGGGCGTCAACCAGGTCGACGGGGTTAGGCTGGGGATCCCGTGACCGCGCCGACATTTGGAACTGGGAACGAGTCGGGGAAGACCCGGAGAGGGGAATTCCGGCCGTTCCTTTGAATGTCGCGCCGCCCCAGCAGGACGCCGGGGCCGGCGAGGCGGGGCAGCCTGAGTAGAGAGAGCGGGCTGGGCAGGCCAAAGATTTGCCCCCTGTGCTCTAGGACCTGCTCCCTGGGCATGCTGAATGGCAAGACGCCGAGGCTCAGGACGCCATGGTGAGAAATACTCCTTGCTCTTGGTGAGTTCGGCATGCCGAAGCCTACCGGTTTGCCGAGCAAATAGAGTTGCACTACGACATTTTCGAGGAGGATGGGTATTGGTGCCGAATGCCCTCGCCAACTGACAGGATTCACCGTCCCCCTCCTGGATATATAGGGGTGTACACTCGGCAATTACAATATGGGCTTCGGTTTCCTCTAGATCCCTTCATGAGGGATATTTTAATAAAGTACAGGATTTCCCTGTGCCAATTAACATCTGTCAGCATTCGGCGGGTGATGACCTACCTCAGGGTGTGCCGGTTTTTTGCCGTGGAGTCAAATTTGCATTGCTTCCGAACGATGCATCAGCTGGTGCAGAACATCCAGAGCGTGTACGGCCAACACGGATCCTCAGGCTGGTGGCGAATAGAGAGTCACCCCCAATATTTGACTATGTGGCCGAACGATTCTTCGGATAAGGACTGGAGAGGTCAATGGGTCTGGGTGAGAGTTCCCGCCGATCCGGAGCACCCTTATTTTTTCGGAGCTCCTCGATATCTCTCCAGGCCTGATCCAAACATGCAGGAAGTGGGCCCCGAGGACCCTGATGTCGCTCGTCACCCCAGCTACGAGCAAATGAGCTTCTTCGGGAAGCAGGATAACCCTGGGGGAGTTGGCCGAATGAGATTTATCCCGGCCAGATGGCTTCCAGATAGACATTACGTCTTCCAAGAGAAGATGTTGGTGGTTGTCGGCCTCAGCCGAAAGTACAGGGATGGTAAGTATCTTCGGCTGGGGCCGAGGACTTTGCCTTGTTTAATTTTCTGCCTTGTTTTAATGCTTATTCCCTCAGTCTAACCTTCGTCTTGTCTTTTCAGAACTGAGCGAAGCTACCTCGGGTATTGACTACAATCGGCTCGGGGTGAACGCTGAACGAGTCATTTTAGATCGGGCTCCGGCGATCACTGCTCCGAAGAACCGTCCGTTGCATCTGCACGAAACGGACCTTCAGATCGAGGATGTCGCCGATTACACCAAGCAGAAGCCTTGGTGGGAGAAGCGAGATCCCCTCAGGCCTTTATTACCCGAGGAAGCACAGGCTGCTCAGACAGCCGAGGACGTGTCCCGGGCAATCGAATCCTTGGAAGGAGGTGCAGGGACGTCTGGTGCTGCCGAGAGGGATACCTCTGCATCTGGAGCTCAGCCAAGGGTTCCGGTAAGTTCCTTGGCTACTTTATTATATATATATATATATATATACTCGCACTTTGCTGCCCCCCTTTCTGCAGTTTGAGGAAGGGAGCGGAAGGAGAGAAGGGAAAGCGCCTGCTCGTTCTGAGGATCCATCTTCGTCAGAATCTGAAGAAATGGACGAGCAGCCCTTGGCAAAGAGGAGGAGGAGGTTAGCCGTGCTGGGGCCTCGTCAGTTTCAGACGGGGATGAGGCCTACCGGAGGCATTCAAATAAGGGATCCTGATGAAGGTAGACGCTCGCCGAGGGCTCCCCCTCCGCCGGAGGCTCCGCGTCCTCAAACCCCCCCTCCACCTCCCGAAACTCAAGAGATGGAGGTGGACCAAAGAACTCCTGATCCGAAGGGGGGGTTCAGGGACGCTCCGCTGAAGACTCTGAGAAACCGATCGCTGAAGATTTCTCAGATGATATTGATAGGGAGGTTGACGCTCTACTTCGTCAACCTGATCTGGGGGAGGAAGCAGAGAAGGTCATTGCTGCTGACCCTGGTGGAGACCAGCTGGGCTCCGCCAAAAGGGAAGGACATGCTGAGCCCGAGAAGGCTCAGGAGGTTCCCTCTTCTTCCTTCCTATCCTTCCAGACGCTGAACTCTGGAGATCTGGGTTTCTCGGCCCCCCGCATCACAGCCCCAGAATCTATTTGGGAACGAATTTGGGGCCAGAACCGTGAAGGAGCTGCAGGTTACTTCGGCGACCTAACTGGCATGTCGGAGGTGGACCAAGCAAGGGTGTGGTCGCTGAAGGCCACAACTGGAATGGGGGAGTCCAGCCGAAGGGTCCCTGACCCTGCCAGAGACAACCAGCGCTTGCTGATGCATGTACTTAACCGTTTAGTTGTTTTGTTTTGTTTTTCGTTTTTAGCTCTTCTTCTTCTCCCTCTTTTTTACTGATGCGCCCCTGCAAATAGGTTGTGCACAATCAGACTCTAACTGTAGAGATGATTGACACCCTCCAAGACAAGCTGGAGCGGGCCTGGGAGGATGCTAAGATCGCCCAAGAGAAGGCAAAGCTGGCAGAGTTAAAGCAGCAAGCTGCTGAAGAGAGACAGGCAGCGGCTGAGAGATATGAGAAGCAGGCTGCTGAGGCCCTTCGGACCTTCTGCCACGCCATGGAGACTGAGGTTTTCTCTACTTTGATGGCTGGGGAGAGCGTCATCAATGAGCTGGGGGCTTTTGACATCCCCAGTTCAGGGCGGCTATCTCTCGCCGAATCGCTGTCGAGGCTGCCGGTCAAGTCCGGGAGATGGAGCAAAGGCTGGAAGGTCTT